AAAAAAAGTCAGATAAATATATGTCCTATCTGTCTTCATTTATGAGATATAATCAATTTTATAAACAGAGCAAACTCTAGTAAGCTAATTTTACCAGGGATAGTATATTCAATTTTCATAAAAATCATAATTGGGATGAAGAAAACCCACATGTTATTGTGCATTCAAGACATCAACACCAATTTAGTTTAAACGTATGGGCAGAAATAATTGATGAATTTTTAATTGGACCTTCTTTTCTTGATGGGAAACTAACACGCGTAAAAGTACGTTGATTTTTTGAGTACGCGTTTACATGAAATATTAGAGGAAGTTCCAGTCTTCAAGTTCAATTTTTACAGTTTACAAAGAAAAATCTAAATTTTTACAGTTTTCGACGAGAAAAGCATCCTTGCTTTTCCATCAGCCGCGTGATGGAAAAAAACGTCTTTGGAAAAGAACTCGAGGTTGGTAAAGTAGAGGTTTCATGCTTCAAAATGAGGCCAACTTTATTGTTACAACTTTTAAACTGAAGGTTTTTTAAAAATTTTGTTAAAATTTAAAAACATTTTGAACCTTGTTTAAATTTTTGTCCAAACAGTTGAAAATATCTATAGATAATCAGACAATTTAAAATATATAGATAATTTTTCATCGAGCGTGCGAATATTTTTGTCCATCTTTGTAGAAAAACTGTAGCAACCATTATGGCGCCAATTTTCTTTCTCTCGTTTCTGTTCACTTCCGTTCTATACAACTAATCTTTCCTGCTTCTGTTTCTTCTCTTTCTCATTAATATATTTCCGTCAGTTTCTTGCCGAGAGACATATTTTATCATTAGGTGAACGAAAAAAAAAAAAAAAAACGTGTACCGTTTTCTTTAAATTAGTTACGGTTTTCTTTAAAATAGCTGCACATTATTTTCCTGCCATCGTCAATTCAGCCAATGATACAAAATAAATCAATCGAAGCGACTGACCAGACATTAAAAGCAGGCACGCTCGATAAATATTTCCAAACGCGATAAATGTTTGCAGAGAAAAATGAAATTCCCATCGAAAGTATTAGCTGGGACGTTTGCATCGTCCCTGATATCCACACGGCGAGAGCTAAGATCGATAGGAGACCGATACGTGGATCAACACTATCGGTTGCTCGCCGTCGATGCGTCTTCTGCATTTCTAACATTCCCCCGGCAAGTGGAATTCTTTCTATTCGACTCGATGTTACGTGAAAAAACAGCTTGATCGTCATTCGCAATAATTTTTCGTATCTGATCTATTTGTGATATCGTACGTACCTTTGAAAGTACAACGCGTTTTACACACAGAGAAGTGTTGACAACACGATTGCAGGTGAAAGAAAGAAAGAAAGAAAAGAAAAGAAAAGAAAAGAAAAGAAAAGAAAAGAAAAGAAACGCGTGTCTCGCGTACCACAGGGGGGATTTCGGCCTCGTGGCGTTCGTTCAAATCGCCTAAATGAATGAAAAGGTGTTCGAAGCGCGTCGCGACGCAGACTGAGGAGTAACGCGGTGAATCTCGTTGGCACGTCGTTCGGATGCCGGGAGGCCAGGATGCTAGAACAACGCGCGCCGAGACGCTCCGACGACGCATGCTCCAGAATACTTTGCACGACAAAGCCGACGTGTGTATGTATATTTCGTGGAATATCTAAGCGCGAGGAATCTCGTTGACACATTGCCGACGGGAGAGACGCTTCTTTTAGTTTTCAACTGTTGCGGACGAGAGACGAGAATTTTCGTGTTTCAACGCTGCGGACGGGGAACGCTTTTTTGCGTTGTATATAATTATATATAATTTATATTATATAATATATAAGTATATATTGTTATATAATTTTTTATATAAGTATATATTGTTATATAATTTTTTATATAAGTATATAATGTTATAATTTTTCAAGAAGTAAGGAAATTGTTTCTTAACGTACCACACTAAGAAACGTTACTAGAGGTATTTTCATTTTATTTAATAAAATTCACTTTTAAAGTGAAAAATAATTAATAATTTTAATTATTAATAAAATAATACTCTTGTTAAATGCTTTACATTCTCTTCAATCGTATATATTAAATAATATTAAAATAAATAATAGTTGAAATCTAAAATACATAATAAATAGATTCTTAAATATTACTATGAAAAATATATAGTAATATTTAGGAATACTTTATCAATCTGAATTAAAGATGTGCATATATGCATTGTACAAAGTTTCCCTAATATAATTTATATTATATAATGTTATATATAATATATAATTATATATTACATTATATAATTTTTCAAAAAGTAAGGAAATTGTTTCTTAACGTACCACACCAAGAAACGTTACTAGAGGTATTTTCATTTTATTTAATAAAATACCTCTAAAGTGGAAAATAATTAATAATTTTAATTATTAATAAAATAACTCTTGTTAAATGCTTTACTATAATAAATTGCTGAACACATGCTATATGTTTAGCAGAGCATACCGTCCTCAATATGTTAATATAAATGTAAAATAAATGATAGTTGAAATCTAAAATACATAATAAATAGATTCTTAAATATTACTATGAAAAATATATAGTATTATTAAAATATAAATATAAACATAAATATAGTAATATTTAAGAATATTTTATCAATGTGAATTAAAGAAGTGCATATGTACGAATTTGTTAGTGCTATCAATCTCGAAGCGGGAGGTATCGAGTTCTGTTGAAGTACAAAGGAAATGCTTTTTTTATAATCGCAGTATAGTCGAGTAAATATTTTCACACGAGTGTTAGACATAGGTGTTTTTCTCGTCGTATATTTCTTTTGCAAGAAATGATGATAAACGCGTGAATATCCAAAAACATAGTGTTGACTACAAAAGGCTTGATGAAATTTGCCATTTTGCTATTTGGAGAGTAGAGGTCATTCGAACCGAATGAATAATTATATATATACGTTCAGCAATTTATTGCTCTGTACGCAGAGATCCAATGTCGTCATAATAACGCGAGACTAGTAATAAATCGCATTCAAGACAAAGCTAAATGTTTCACTAATATTTAACGGTCAGCCAACACTAAAAATATAAGAAAAATCGCAATCACTTTCTTTTAAAAATCGACATATAAATACATTTTTGATACAAAGGATTATTCGAAAAAGTCATGTTATTTGAAGTAATCTTTTCTTCGCTTCAACCAGCCATTGCAGTCATTATCGTATTCGTAAAACTGAATAATTACTCCTCGCATTTCATTATCGTTCGCTTAAGTAACGCGTTTGTTATCGCCACTTTTAACGAGCTACACGTTATCTGAATCGTATGCGACCACGGTGTAACACCGTTCACTATTTCTGTTAAATACGTAGACCTCGACTATCTACGTTCAAGACGGACGTGATTCGTTAAATAATAAAATGGTAGACGCAGTTTTGACGGAGGATCGTTTGATCGAAATAATTAAAATCAATGGCAAAAAAGAAATAAAAAAAAAGTTACTTAAGATAGAATCGAGAGAACTACTCGTTCTTTCTATTTGTTAGTGTTGCTAGCTGTGGGTAACATTAATTAATTTATTATTCAATTTAAGGTCGACGGAGTTAACGCGTTTCTTGTTATAATTAAGAGCTACACGTCAACCGCAGATGTTCTACTCTTAGTGCATATCGCACGCATCCATGCACGCGTGAACACTCGATATTCTGTTACGTGTCATGGTCCACGTTGCTGCTCAAAGCTTAATTATATCATTAAGTTATTACATTCATCGCCATACACAGCAATTGTGTATTCGCGTTGTTAAAAATATACTATCGAGAAGCATCGAAGATTTTTTTTTTTAAATGTCTTGGATCATCGTCCAAGCGATAATAATAAACATCACTGAAATGTCAATCTTCTTAACGGCTGCTTATTTATTCCGGGTTTTGTGAACTGATCGTATTTTATAATACGATCGTAATATAGCTTATTATAGGGGTGTGCGAGAACCCGAAAATATCGGGAACCTGATGGTCGGGACAAGTCGGGAATAGAGGTCGAGTCGATATTCCCGAAAATTTCGAACAGCCTACAAAATATGTAAATACACAGTTCAATTTCTTCTGCCAGTGAAGTTATTGGAAACACGGATTCTAAGAATCGCGTGACCTGATGTAAACGAACGTATGACTGCGTGCTTAGCACTTGGACATTATGTACGCTGTCGAGCAGTATCGCTGAAAAATTCGGGAAGCTCAGACGTATATTTCAAAATCTGTGTAAATTTAATAAAGATTAAAAATCTTTAAAAATAAATGTCGAGTGATAGTGAGAGTAAAGTTGTGGTAGCAGGAACTAGTGCAGAAGAGATCGTGTAAAGGAAGAAGGTAAAGAGAAGCTCTGTTTGGGAACATTTTCAGGAAAAAGATGATACAAAGACGGAATGCATACATTGTCGCCATGAATTTAAAACTAAGTATGCAAATACTACTGGTTTATTACGCCATTTGAAGCATATGCAAACATAAGTGCATGTACTAGAAAAGAAACTGAATCGATATAAAATTTGTCGCATGTACAAAATGATATGCGAAAGATTGTTAAACCAAAAGATATGACAGGAGGAATTGCTCGAATGATGGTTCTAGATCTGCGACCTTTCGATATAGTTACCAATCCTTTCTCGAATCCCAACTCTTTCGGAAATCCTGATTCTTTCGAGAATCCCCATAAATTCGAGAATCTCGAAATTTTCTGGCACTCGTCCCGATCCCGAAGAAATTTCGTATTCCTGACTCATTTATCTAACCGGACCATTTTTTAACATGTAATTAAATTTACATCCATTTCACTTCGACTGAGAAAATCTATTTTTACAATTGAAATATATTAATGTCATCTGAACAACAACAAAAAAAGGCACATTGCTTGAAATAGAACATGAAACGCATCATAAAAACAACCGCTGGATAAACTTTAAACAGATCTGTTTCTTTAAAGGAAACTCTATTTTTATAACTGAAATATATCAATATATTAATGAAGAAATTGCTTTTGTATTTGCCTTAGTTAGGAAAAGATAATTTAAATTAAATCGCTGTGTAATAACAGGGAGAGATGGCAGTATCAAGGGAGACGAGATATTTCATAAAAATATCCATTTTATTTTTTTCAACTTCATTTTTTACGTGTCCCTTTTATTACATACAATAAAATACTAACTGTAACAGACATAACGATAATTATACAGATAATTATACAGACAATAGTAATAATAACCACTGTAATTCGCAACGGGACACATTAAACATATGATCTTTCTTTTTTTTTTTTTTTTTTTTTTTTTTTTTACGATTTTTAGAGTTATCGACCTTTTCCCCTGTTAGGTTTTTAAACGTGAAAATATTTTGGACCGGAAAGGAGCATGAAAAACTAATATGGATGGAGATGAAGGTAGTTACGAAGGAACTTGAACAGTAAGTGCAATTGTTCCAAACAATGGAACGTGTTTCCAGGCCAAGGCATAGCCGTAGCCAAGTCGTAAAATGAATCAAGAGTTAAAGTAATCGTGTCGCGGATATCAAAACAATGGAATTATAACACAATACGACGATTTAATGACTCGAGTGTCTCGGTCGGGATTTTGTAAAAGAAACATTCATTGCAATCAATATACTTCGTATCCTAGGGGTGCGACCTCTCCGAAGTTTCGACGCACGTATTTCGTACGGGATTTCAGTTGGAGTATTTTTTAACATTTATTTACCACGTAGATTCACATAGATTTAATTACTGTTATTATAACTCAATAATATTGAATTCATCTTACAATTTTTCAAATTTTTATTATTATCAAATTTATTATTAATTATTTACCAATAACATTTATTTTTTATTCGTTAATGATCCGATTAAATAAATCCGTTTTGCTGGTTGAATCCGCTTATTTCATCTTGGATTTCTATTATATAATATATATATATATATATATATATATATATAATTGATGTAATATTTATAAAATAATATTAATTGTAGTTATAAAACTCTAAGACTTGGATAGTAAACGTGTTAACTTATTGCTAGATAATACAATTGGGCGACAGTTTATGCAGAAAGTAATAATTAAAAAATAAAAATAAAAAAATAATATACTATAATATATATTAACAAATTATATATTTAAAAAAAAGATAAAAAAAATAACATACTCTACAGTATAAGACAGTAATAAGAGTTAAATGGAGAGACGATTTATAATATTGCAGCGTGCAAACAAAGAATAGCTCCAGCGTCGAAAATTGTTCCCCTAAATTAATTTTGCAAAGCCGTGGAATCCGTATTCATCCGATCAACATTCCGTCTCATTTCGAGGATTTCTGAAGAACTCGCGGTTCAATTGTGCGTCAGATGTTGACGACTGAAATCACGACATTTTTTCGTCCCTCCCGCCCCCCCCCCCTCCTACCCCTTTCTTCGCCAACTTTGCCAACTTAGAATCCACAAAGTATCTCGGTCC